TGATTTTGGCTGACCCCCTGCTCGGAGATTCCCCTCTGCGCCTCTCACAAAGTCCTTGCCTGGCTCCAGGAGCCTGGTGGTGCCCTTCCTGTGTGGGGTTAACCCTGCTGCCTGCTCAGCCTGCAAGAGGCCGCTCTCTCTCTGGGCTGTGGGAACCCAGAGCTCTGCTTCGCTGCCCGGAGCAGGTAGGAGGCTGCTGGAGCAGGTAGGAGGCTGCTGCAGCAGGCAGCTCCGTGCTGCCTCTGCCAGGCTCCTACCAGTGCTAGCACTGCCCCACACGAGGCGTGCTGGAGGCACAGGCATGAACTGGTTTAGGCCTTTGAGCTCCCATCCAGGTAGTTTACTGCAGAGTGACTGTACACAGCGGCCATAGCCCCACTGTGCAGCTGGGGAGCACCAGAAGGGCAGAGGAGTAAAGCTTTTGCCCCTTCCAAGGCTGTCCTCCAGCCAGCAGCTCCCTTGTGTGACTGTGGGCTGGGTGCTGGGGCTCTGCGGTCTGCGGTGCCCCTCTGTCCTGGGGGGCCCTGGCAGAGGTCCCAGGGGTGGGATGCTTCGTGCTGGCTCTGCTCCCCTCTCCCTGGCTGCAGTGAATACAGCGTGGCTGTGGACAGCTGGGCCTGCAGCTCTTCTGCTGCTTGGGAGAAGGGAAGAACAAGGTCCTCCTGCCTCCGCTCTGCAGAGAGCCTGGAGCTGATGCTTCTCCAGTCTGCTGTATCCAGCACAAGGCCCTCATCCTGCTGTGCAGCCAGTACACCTTCCTAGGGGGAGCATCTGTCCCCCAGTGCTGTTGGTGCTGTGTCAGAGCCCATGCATGCCTCCAGCTGCCCATCCCTCTTCCCACATGAATGCAACAGGCTGGGGCAGCGGTGAGGCTGCTGGAGCCAGGGAAGTGTTCATGCCTGCTGACTTTTGCCCTTTGGAGTAGGGGCAGCTGCCTCTACATGGCCTCTCTGAGCTCTGCTGGTTTCCCAGCTCCAGTGGAGTGCAGGAAGACTTCTGGGGCAAACCAAGTCCCTTTTCCTGCCGGCTGTGCTGGCTGCTCTGGGGCTGGAGGCTATGACAGGAGCTCTGTGTGCCCCACGTAATGGCAGAGGCACAAGCTGGGCCCTGCTTGCTCAGAAGAAAGGGTGTTGGGTGCAGGCAGCGTTTTGCCCGTCCTGCGTGAGGGCCATACCCCCATCCCCTGGCATTGCTGCTGCCGCGGGCCAGAGATGCCTGAAGCCCCTGGGAGCTGCTGGGCCCTCCTCTCAGACCCGTGCCAAACTTGTGGGGCTGCCTTCAGGAAGGAGACACCTGGGGTCGGACAGCCGGTGCTGGCGGTAGAGAAGCTGCTCCATGGGTTAATCATCTTTCTGATTAACAACTGTCTTGAAAGATCCACTTGTCTTTCAGCGATGGGTCTCACCCTGCCCTGGCTTGATAGTAATCCATCCGCTGTCAGAAATCTCCCTCCGCAAGGTGCTTTTCCTCTCTCCAAATCCTGCCTGTGTGTATCACGGCTTTAGCAGGGGACCGGGCTCCGGACTTGCCCACGGGCCCCTTGTGAGGACATGAGACCCCTCGGGGCTGGTCTCGCGGTAGCATGGGTGGCCCACAGTCCCCCTCCCGCAGCCGGCGGTGGTGAGCGAGCATGCCCTGCGCTTCCTTGTTCTAGGTGCATGCGCTCGGGTGCGAACCCTTTGCACTTGGGTGTGCCAAGTACCTGCTGCTCAAGCACGGAGAAGAACCTTAAGCGGAGCTCCAGCGTCTGGCATCTCGTCTCATTTAGGACCAGCAGCAGCGGGAGTTGAAAGGTGATTTGGTGACCGTGTGTAAGTACTCAGGAGGGAAATGCCACCGGCCAAAGAGCCGAACCAAGAGCTGGAGGCAGAAGTTAGACAGCTTTTTGTCGGGCTGGAGCAGGGCTGGGTGCTGCTCTGATCTCTGCTGTACGGTTGTCTTCTGAAGGGAGCTGCTGTGGGACGGAGGGAAAGCCCTCGGGTGAGCGGCCAGGGCACCAGGAGAGGCCTCGGAGGACAGGGGCTGCTCGAAACAGGGAGAAATGCCGGTGGGGTGGCTGGCAAGAAGGGAAAGGCTGCGGATGGCACAAAAATTACTCGCGTAGGGAAAGTGAAATACACCACTAGGAAACACCCAGAAACATGGAAAAGCAGGGAGGGGGCGGAGAAAGGAGCCACAAATCGGTTGTGATGGGTGCTGAGCCAGCACCAGCGAGTTGCCCTGGGTGGGTCGGTGAAAGCGCTGCCTCCCACGCAGGGGGAAGAAAGAAACACCCGAGAGACCTTGTCCCTGTGTCCCCGGGGGTGTGCGCAGGGTCCCCGGTACCGAGCTTGGGGCCAAGGGCTGAGCGTCCCGGGGCGGGGGGCATCGAGCAT